TGTGTATTGTGGCGAATAAAATAAATAGAAAATAAAATTGTGTCTTTTGATGTCATGTCATTCGGGAACATTGTCGTTTTTTTTATTGCGAAAAAGAAGTAGAAAATGTGAAGTGTGTGTTTAGATTTTAATACGTGAATGTGCGTATGTGTATCGCGTTAAAGCCGAAAACCTTACTGTAATTTAGAATTTATTCGACGAATACACGGACACTAGAATTTCATTGTTACTTCCGTTGGTGTTTTCATTTGTTTACCAATTTAACCTGAAGTTCTTGTTCTTTCTGTGTATCTAGCTCCCTCGGCGCGTACCATTCACGTTGAAAAGTGCGACAAACAATGGTACAATAGAAAATTATTGCATTTCGAAAATGTTCACCGGAAGTTCGGTGTTTTAGTCTCGCTGTGTGTTTAGCATCCACAAATTTTATCTACCGTATTTATCATACGCTCGATTTTCTGACAAACGCTTGACAGCACAAGTACAACAATAGCAGAATCGTTGCCGTCGTTGTCGTCGACAACGACAATGTTGTGGCATTGCAATCAATAAACTTTAGCTCGAATGTTACAGCTACTGGTGCTGTGACCATTATCCAGAATGAGACCCCAAAAAGAAACGAATTTCTACCGGGAAATTTTACGACATGATTGCAGAGGAATTATGAATGAAAAATTATGATTATTATTGTAGCTATTATGCGGCACAGAGAAACGAAAGAGACGTTCGGATGTTCGATCCATCGTTTTAGAAAATCGAAATGGAAATGCTTATAAACTGGCGTCACACACACACACACGTGTAGAAGGTGTGAGAAACACAATAAGCGCACCATCGAAACGGAATTGATCAAAAGATAGACCAGAGTGCAAAGCAAAGAATGTCAGGACATATTGTGAAGGGCACCTAGTCATTCGCAGTCCTCTTTTCTTCATCTCCGTCTCACTTGGCTTCCTTTGCTTGGTCTCCGTTTCAATTGCTTTACATTCACTCAGCACTCTGTGCCTCGTGTGTTCATTCACATTTTTCGCATTGTAAGTGTGTATGTATGTATCTTTCATCGAATATAATAACAGTAATAATAGGGTTTTTCCCGCTTCCTATCCTGTTTCATCTCTTGTACACTGTACGTTTTAAAGGTGGCGTTTCGACTTTTGTCAAATGAATTCACATAAAACTTTTATTGGCAATTTCAATGTTCTTTGCTTCAATGTTGAAAAATTGATGTTGTTGTTGCTGTTACTGCTGTACATTTTGGTGCTTCAAATGAAAGCGATAAGCACACAAAACGTTATCGATGTAGGGGATCACGAAATTACCGAAAGAAAGAGAGAAGGCGAGAGATGAAAAAAAAAGTACCTTCTATCACACCGACTGTTGAGTGCATACCGTCAATATCACGTCGAAAGTACACTAATCAAAATGGGTATTTTTTGGTTTCGTTTTTCGCTTATGAACACTGCACGAAATGCGAGGTAGATTTAATTCTGCAACGGCGCTGGCAAATACATCTGGCGTTATAAGGATTTCAAGCAATTTTTCTTTTTTTTTTCTTTTTTTTTCAATTCTTCAACATACAATAACGAAACTTTTCCCTTTGGATGATTCATGTAGAGAATAGACCTACATTTCTCAACTATTTCAAATAAAGAAAAAATGTGCCACGAGTTATTAGTTCAAAATCTTTATTAGTGTGTAGTTGAAAATATAAAATTGTGCTTGTAAAATTCGAAAAATGATGTTGGATGGATGCTCTTCACACAGCGAACGCTCAGCCAAAGTTGAAACATTGTAAACCGTGTGTATCAGATTCATTGACAATAATATTGCGTTCTAAATTTAAACGATGTGAATTTATCCTACTCCTTATCCAGATATGGTCTTAAACATCATGTATCGTCTTGAACATCATATAATATGAATAAACA